ACTGTCAAAACACATTGCTATTATTTAGCGTTTACTACATCTTCCGTTTTCATTATGGTGCCAGGCAGCACAACGCTTTGCATAGGAGTTAAGAGTCTGCCAGCATTTCCTTTAAAACACCTTGAACCAAATTTTTCTCTTGTATAGCATCAGTGAAGTTAATAGCATTACTCCAGTAATGGTTCTAGGTCTCTTTTTTTTTTTTTTTTTTTTTAAAGCTTAGCATATACACTTTACATAGTGCTGAATCATGGTTACAAGATCTTAGACAAGAAATGAAAAGGAATGGAAGTTTTTCCAACCACTTGGACATTTCTGAATTATAGCATAATAATAGTGTAATATATATTATATAATATACATTATAGGGTAATATTATAGTAATAGTGTAATAGTATTATAATAGTGTAATTTAATATTTACTAATTAGTTTACAATTTTGTGCTTCCATAATTCACAATAACAAGTTAACAACCAATCTTTCTTCTCCGCACCACCCAAAATTACCTATGCAAGAAGAGCTCAGGCCTGGGTGTGTGAGGAGGGACTCAGGCTGGGGTATGTGTGGATGAAGAGAATGCAGGGGGCAAGGGTGCTATTTAAGGAGAATGGGGGGGGGCTGAAGATCCATACCCCAGATTTGTACTAGAAGTAGGGATGTAATAGTGTAGTCATTTAACCGATAAGCAAAAGCTTATTAGTTAATGGTATAGACCAGTGGTGCATAACCTTTTTAGATCTGTGACCCCCGCGCTGCTGGGGCCGCCAACTGCTGGGCCCAGCCCCCGGCTGGCCGGCCAGATCTAGGCGCTGCGCTGTTTGCCTGCACCCAGCCCCCAGCTGGCCGGATCTAAGCACCGCTCTGCATGACCTCCAACAGCAGGTCCCAGCCCCCGGCCGGCCAGATCCATGCCACATGGCCACAAATGGCAGGGCACAGCCCCCGGCCAGCTAGATCTAAGCGCCGCAACATCCGCAACTCTCTTGGGAGTCGCAACCCACGGTTTGCGCACCACTGGTATAGATTACATGCATTTCCCCGCCCACACACAGACACCCCTGCCAGTAAATTTTTGAGCAGGCCAGCAGCCTGGCTCAGTCCTGGCTTGCGACAGGTCCAGGACCTACTCCTGCTGCAACTCTGCATTTAAAATGTATTAGGAGCTGGGCAGGTAGGCAGCTCAACTCAGTTCTCTCCAGCCAGGAGAGAGAAATGCACATGGGCTGTGTGCTTTGCTCTCACTCCCTGAGGGGAAGAGGAAGAGCAAGCAGCCTCCGCTTATGAATCTCGGGGGTGGGGGGTTTCGGCTCCTGTCCTACCCTCCCTAAATGGCACTCTGGGGGGTTGGGGCTGTGGCAGTCCCTGACTGGTGCAGGGGCGCACCCCCAGCCAGCCCCTTTCACCAGCCTGCTTGCTGCTTAGGAGGAAGCTTTGGAAGCCCAGCAGAGAGCTGTAAACGAGTGGCCCAACCAGCCTGTTTTCCCTTGTTGGAGTGGGGTCCTGGGGCACACCGGTTACTTTCACCTCCACTCACCACACAGCTTTAAGGTAGAGAAGTATCCTTCCAGTTAGGAAAATGAGGCATAGAGAGTTGCACTGACTTGCACAAAATTACTTAGTTCTGTCTGTGAGAGAATTGTGGCTGGAACCCAGATCTCTAGACTCCCAATTATCTGTCTTACCCAAAAGGGATCCTCCCCCTTAAAAATCAATTATTGCTAGACAGTGGGCCAGAAGTGCAATGCATAAGTTCTGTGCTTTCACCTAATATTCCATAGTCTGTCCTCCCTTGATCTGCTTTTCTCTCCCTCCACAAAAAGCACCAGATCATCTACAATAACAAGACACATGGCAGTGGAATTTTGAAATAGAGCTTAAGCCTTAAGTGAGCCAGGGTCTCCATTGTAGATGGTTGCTCTAGAGGATTTAAATATTGTCCATAAACATTTGTATGAATTTAAAACTCGGTCCCAAGACAAGTGGATTATATTCACTGCTCAAGTAAACAGATGCAATCCCTTTCTAAACCACTAAGCCAATGGGAATTTACCTGAATGTATGTATTCTCTTCTGATTAGTTTCCCACACCTTATTCAGAGGCATAGTATCTAAAGTCTTGACTACAAGGGGAAATTAACTGGCAGAGCTACAGTGAAATAGCTATTCTGGAATAATTTCTCTGTATGGACATTATCTCAAAGGAAAATAAATTTATTGTGGAATAATCACTCTGCTTTGGAAAAGGAGTAATTATTCTGAAATATTTTTGTTCTAGAATAGAGTATTGATATGGATGAGTTATTCATTTATTCTGAACTAGCTAAATTATATTGGACTAGCTATATAAGAATAGATATTCCTCTATAGCTATGCTAGGAAATTATACCATTGTAGATAAGTCCTTACCATGTATATTTTCCATAGTCTGAAAACTAAGACCATTTGGCTTGTTATTTTACTAGTTTCAGTAGTCTTCTTTCTTGTCTTTTTTAGGATTAAGAAGATTTGACCCCCATATTTTCACCTTAGCTAGAACATCTGATTTTGTTGTTTAATACAGGCGATGTTCAGTTTTCTTGACATTGAACTGGATCTTGTCATTAGTGCCTTTTGCCCATATGTAACATTTTGTTTCTCTTTCACAATGGTCAGTAACTTACAGCCTTTGCATTTACTTCTTTCTTTCCCTGTCTAGACAGGCTTTTTAGCTAACTAGTGTGATTTTGTTTATCTCTCATTTCAACAGCAGCACCACATTTCACCCCTCCCCCCTTCTTGTAAACAGTTTTTTGTTTGACACAGTCTGTTCTTCTGGTGACAAAAACCACATCCTTCCACTAGTTAACAAACATTAAATTTCCCTGCTGGAGCCATATGGAAACCCAACAGAGGACATGGGGAGCAGGTCAACAAAATTTTCAGTTCTTCCACATTAACTTTATTTTGGATGTTCTCCATCCACTCTGTCAGCTCCTTAGCGCCCAGTTCAGCAAGTGTGCGGGTATTTACATTTACATGTGTGACACTCTTCCTTTGTGGCTTATATCCTTGATCAAGGCCACTCTATGCAACTGCCTTCTGGCTCAACTATAGCCTCTCACTTGTGGCTTTCTCCTGCACAGTAGGACTTTCCTCAATGGGTGAACTCCCAACACCGACACAGCTATGCTCAGGACTCTTGGCAGCAGGTGGTCTGAGGCTTTACCATTCATGGCACCTCTCCCTGTGGTTTTGGAGTTTTCATTATTGCTGCTCTTTCACTGAAGAGATTGCTGTTACTTACACATCTGCTTATTCAAGCCTATCTTCATGAATCTAATTCAGGTTTCTAGCCTGATTGACCCATTGCTACCTCTTAATCCTTGCTTTCATCTGGAAATCTGTTCTACAAGCCTCTCAATACACTTAAGAATTTTATGTAGCCAGTATGGCTATTTACACTACACTTCCGATGTCAGCTTAGCTATGTATTCTTCCTTTTAAAGACCCAAACAGCTATCTGTCACAGAAAAATAAAAGTTTTACCTATACAAAAATTAAAACTGATTTTGCTACTCCTCCTAAATTATGGAGCAGGAATACACTGTGGATTTCACATAACTTTCAAGGGAGAAAAGACAAAACTCAGAATGAAACCGCTACCATTTCATTTAAGCTCCATGCATTGCTTATGGATTTGTAAAGAATAGTATTTGTGAGGTTTTATTCAACTTAGAATCCTACCATGTGGCCATGAGAAATGGGCTTGATCAGTAAAATTCTGATTTTGATTGTATAAAAACCAGGAAATTCAGTGTTGGGGTTCCCATAGCAATAGGAACTCTTTGCTGCTTTGCGCATATTCATTACTTCAGAAAGTTGGTATGAGCTTTCCACTAATGACAGCAGGATGATCCTACTGAGCATACCCAGGGAGCTGAGTGCCAGGAACACATGGCAGGAGTATCCCAGGCAGATTGACAGCAGGCATCCTGGTGACAGGATGAAGACTGCCTTACATATGAAAACATGCAGGGTAGCTGTAAAAGTGAACAGCTCTGAGTGAGAGCATACTGCCTTCCTCAGGAGCAGAATGGTCCCCACTCCCAAACCAGGAGATCTGGTTTTATTAAAGCATGAGCAAAAAATCTGGGGCCCATGCATCAAGCTACCAGTTGCATATACCACACCCACGGAAGGCCCTTGGGGAGCTCTCACTAATACCATCACTTCCTTTGAAAGAAGGAAGGCAAACAGAATAAAAAAGGAAAGACAACAAAGACTATCCAATGATTATCATATCCACATACAGCTTTAAAAGATTCATGCCATTATCTAGTATATATTGAATTTTTTTCAGTCAATTGTTTCTCTGTAGTGTTCTGCTTTCTTTTAGTACCTCCTCTTCCTCTCCCACATTTTCTTTTCTCTTTCCAATGTTCTCTCCTTTTTCTTCTTTTTATACTTCCCTTCTACTCCCTCATTTCTGCTCTCCATTTTATAGTATTCTCTCCTCCTATTTAATTCTTCCTTTCTCATATGTCTGCTCTTTCCTTTTACTGTGATCCTCATTTATCTGGATCTCTCTCTCTACTTTCTATTCCCTCTGTCCATATCCCATATCTCAGCATAAAGAAAGGGTGCACAAGTGCTTGATGCATCTCCTCCAGGCATAGGCAGGATATTTAATATTTGGCTTGGGAGCAGTAGTATGGTCTGCTGTGTAATAAGGAGAAGAAAACTGAATGTAGTACTTACAAGCTGAGCTCAAGCATCTCACTATTCATCAATGAATTCCTGGAGGAGAATAATATTTTTTTCATAAATAAGCAGTAGCAGCTTACAGAGGGGCATATTGTTTAGCTCCCCAGGATACTTTGTGTGCTGTAGTCTGTTAGAGTCCATTGCTTAAGAGAGTTTTGTAGATAAAAGCTAAGTTTATTCATCAACTTTGAAAATCAGGTTGCTTATTTAGGTGTTTAAATATGGACTTAATTTTGGCTTTTATGATTTGCTCAAGGTCTTTTCCTGACAGTGCTGGGAAGACTGACCAATTTTCTAACCTCCCCATTCCTGGTGCTACACAGTATTGCTTCAGGTGATCAGATGTAAGTAGAATATGCTAACTGGTTACAATTAAGTTTACCTAATCAGAAAGACTTCAAGCAAATTGTGAAATCACCCAGGCTGTGTCTACACTGGCAAGTTATTCCGGAAAATCAGCCGCTTATCCGGAAAAACTTGCCAGCTGTCTACACTGGCCGCTTGAATTTCTGGAAAAGCACTGACGATCTAATGTAAAATCATCAGTGCTTTTCCGGAAAAACTATGCTGCTCCCGTTCGGGCAAAAGTCTTTTTCCAGAAAACTGTTCCGAAAAAGGACCAGTATAGACAGCACAGTAGTGTTTTCCGCAAAAATGCCCCGATCGCGAAAATGACGATCGGGGCTGTTTTGCAGAAAAGCGCGTCTAGATTGGCCACGGACGCTTTTCTGGGAAAAGTGCTTTTCCGGAAAAGCGTCCTGCCAATCTAGACGCGCTTTTCCGAAAATGCTTTTAACGGAAAACTTTTCCGTTAAAAGCATTTCCGGAAAATCGTGACAGTGTAGACGTAGCCCCACAGTGTGATTCTGATACCTGTCCTGGGGCAGAGAGTCTCATGAGTGAAGTAGGCCCTAGCAGTGAGAAGGCCTTGTCTCTACCTGGTTCATTTGTTGTCCATTGTACATGGGAATGGAAAGAAAGGATAAACCAGTTGATGGATGCTTTGGGGGTATGGTACCTCAAGGTGATTGATGGCTGGTTCACAATAATCCTTCTCCTAGATTTCTAGTATGTAGGCTTTTATAGATCACAAATAAGATGTGGCAGACAGTGCATATCATAGAGGGCAGTTGTACTTAGATGGAGTAAGCAGGCAACTGCATTCTTCAGCTACTGCAGTTTCTGGATTAATTTCAAGGGAAGCCCAAGAAGTAGAGAATTTAATAATCTGGTATGATTACTGTGAGCTCTGATACAAGAGATCATCCCTATGTGCAATTTACTAACATGTGATCAAGTACCTTCCTGATCCAGGCTCATAATGAAATCCACACAGAGGGGCTATGTCTATACTGCAAGCTTCTTGCGCAAGAACTTTTTGCGGAAGAGCTCTTCTGCAAAAAGTTCTTACGCAAGAGCACGTCCACACTGCCATGTGCTTTTGAGCAAGAGATGTGCTCTTGCGCAAGAAAGCTCTGATGGCCGTTCTGTGAATGGAGATCAGAGCACCTGTGCTTTTTCCGATGGGGGTTTCTTGCGCAAGAAACTCCTGTTGTCCGTCCACACACATCTTTTTGCACAAGAGCTCTTGCACAAAAAAGACTTATTCCTTGTAGAAAGAAGAATAACTCTTGTGCAAAAAGCCCTGTCTTCTGACAATTTACTGTATTTTTTCTTGTGCAAAAACACACTTATAGAGTGGATGCTCCATGAGTTTTTGCGCAAAAACAAATGTTTTTACACAAAAACTCTGCAGTGTACACATAGCCTCATTCATGAAGGCCTGAATCTGAGTCAAACTGTGCAAAGATTGAAGAAGACTTTAAGGGCCCAATCTTGCAAACATTGTGCCTGGGGCAGGTGCAATGCCTGCTGAAGTCAATTGACATTTTATACCTGTTGGATTTGTGGATCTGGATCTTATTAAAGTCACTATTTTCTGGTAGCCTGTCTCATGGATGTACAAAATAGATAAGTGGCTCAAATGAATGTCCAGCTCTGGCAGATCTGGTGGTGTTTTGGGTTTTTTTTTTTAGCAGTGAGCTTTTACTACTTGTTTTGCAATTTTAGGGGGAGCTTTCAAAACCAGAAAGGGAAATTAGGCACCCAACTCTCATTGACAGTCAGTGGAAGTTGGGGACCTACCTTCCCTTTGTGCCTTTGAAAATTTCCTCTCTATATTTGACTTGCTACAGGAGCACCTGTACTCAAGTCTGGATTGGCAATTGTCCAGAATCCTGAGGGTCACAACTAGTTTGCATTAAATGGAGTAGATTACAGCCACAATATTTTGATCATAAAGGTGCAGCATGGAAAGTCCACAGATTCCAGCACTGGATGAATGATACTGCTGCCAGGGACCTACAGTTTCCACGGGCTGAACATCAAAATTAAGCATCAGGACAGCAGCCAGCTTCATTGTAGAACTCTGCTTACAAGCTGCACTTTGGCCACTGCTGATTTAATAGATTTGAATAAGCAGATGGTCAGGTAAGAAAATATTAGCAGACATGCTTGCGTGTTTGTGTTTCACACTTCAAAGGACCTGACAAAGCCTGGTTAGCTCTTCCTTTAAAAATCAATTGAGCAAGATGTATCTCCCTGGGCTCTATAGTATGGATGTTAAATGGATTAAGTCTAGTGTGGGTTGCACAGCTTTATTTTTTTGCCTTGCGAGGATCATGTTAAATCCGGGGTTTTAGACCTTTTGCGTTCACTCATGTAGATACATGGCAGGAAATTACACAATTTAACCTATGTCCTGAAATAAAATATTCTTTTGTGTTCTGGTTTAGAATCAAACACATAATTCTTTGTGATTTTCCTTTTAAGTAGTAGAACAGAAGAAAGGCTATAGGGACTCCAAAATGCAGGAGTCATCAAAAAGATGTGTAAAGTTATTAGATATATTGTCACAATTTTTGTTAATTTATTTTATTTTTATTTCAGTGAAAACAGTTTTTGTTGTTGTAATTTGTTGAATATAAACACTTTCCTGAAATTTCTGTAACCTAAACTTTGCAGCATTGTTCCAGGGCATAAGAATCAGACAATAAAACTTTGTACTAGGATTTCATTTTATAGCTTATTTTTGTACAAGGCCCCAAAGTAGGTGGTTTGATGAAGAAAAAGAAAAGAAACTAGAGAGAAAATTGAAACAGGCCAAACAGTTTTCATTGGCCAAGATGAATAAAAAGTATAATGGGAACAATCAGTATCAGTAGTAAAAAGTAAGTTAGATTTTTACACATTGGTTTAGTTTTAATAATTTGAAATAGTATTAATAGACTTAAGGTATATTTTTAAATACAGACTTTTTAATCAGATAGTATCCTTCCAAGTTTATGGCAAAGAAAAGCTGTCTCTAAAATAAGAAAAAGAAACAACTGAACAATACATAAGTTAATATAATCTGACTCAGATCATCTTATTAGAAGACTGTTTCACATCTCTTTAACTCCATTCATTCTGAAGGACTTTCAAGCATTCCTCCTCTCTGTTACTCAGGTCCTTCCAGGGCTCAGATGTGCAAGTTTGGCACTGTTGTTGGATTCATTCAGAACTCCACTTCATCATTCCTTTGATTATGGAGCTAATGTGCTGTTATGAACAGAAAAAGAAGCCATGCACAAAGTAATTATTTTGGTATTAAATAAATCTGGGTCCCACAAATTAAATTAAAACCAATTGTCACATAATCACATACATAATTACTATAATAGCCACATATGTCAGAGATTGAAAAGAATGTGTAAGGATAATTTAGCTCACCTTATTGCCAATGTAGGTTGTCCCAGTATACTTTCTAATGCTTTGTCCAGCAAGTCTTAAATATTTCAAGCGGTGGGACTTCTATTATGTCTTTTGGGCAACGAGTCCACGGTCTAACACGGAGCTACTCAACATGCGGCCTATGGAGGGCCCGTTTGTTTGCGGCCCACAGTGTGGTTTGGGTTTACGCAGGGCTCAACAGGCAGTCTGCGGGTGAAATCCTTTGAACATGGCCTCTACTGGGAACATGCTCCACAATGGCAAGTTAATATAATGGTCTTGTGTTGATATGCGTTTAGTAGTTAAATTCCTGGACTGTCATTGCTTATTAAAAGTGCTGTTATATGGGTGGAAATCAGGTAAATATTGCATTTTATTAATATCAGCAGAAGTGACTTAAATGGGGCCTGCGTGTTGTGTAGTCTTGCCTTAATCTTTGTATTCATGCCAGGCAGTGTGAAAGAAGCTATTTGCATATATTTGCATATATATTTGCATGTATTTGCAACCACACTTAAGTTGCGGCCCTTGGCACGTGCTGTATCATTGTGGCCCCTGGGGCTTCCAAAGTTGAGTAGCCCTGCTCTAACTGATGTTACCATTAAAAAAGGATGTATAGCCAAATGTATGCCGCAGTTCTTATTGTGTTTGTACGTAGCATAGTCTAACATCATCCTCTGCAATTTATTTTGATCTGACTGTTGCAGTTATCACCACAAAGAACTGCTTCTTTCCTTATGTACACTCTACCCAAAAATGCCAGCTATTTGCACATTAGTCTTCACGGATATTTTACAGTAGACCCTCACGTAAAATTTTCTTCAATTTGGCCTTTAAATAGGTATTTTTTGCCTACTGAAAAGATACCTTCAAGTAAATTTGGTGATGCAAACCTCTCATTGTCATAATAACTGCAATACTGAATCTCCAGAAAGAGATCCCGAGTCAGAGAGAAGTTAGTGATACAAAGCAGTTAAAGGGTAATCACAGCAGAGAGTAGCAAAGGACTGGCAAACTCTTCTGTCAAGTCTAGAACAAATCCTTCCAGGGTAGGTTTGAGGAATATTGGAGGACAACTTTGGGAGGCTCACACTGCTACTAACATACTGTACCTGTCCCACGGACACATAGAAGTCTTCAGGGTGGGTAGTTTGTTTCTTTTCATCAGCAACCTATTCATCTCTGAAAGAATGAACAGTTGCTTACAGATACAGGCAGTCCCTGGGTTACGTACAAGATAGGGACTGTAGGTTTGTTCTTAAGTTGAATTTGTATGTAAGTCGGAACTGGTACATATTGTAGGGGAAACTCTAGCCAAACATTTCTCCAGAGCTCAGTTTTATTCTCCCACACCTCACTTCCCTCAGTCCTTTATTCTCAAGCTGAGGTGTCTGCTGAGAAAAGCCGTTCCGCGTCTCCCTGGTCTGCTGGGGGGGGTGCTAGCTTCACGTCTCCCTGGTCTGCTGGGGGGAAGCAGCTAGTGCGGGGTTGCCTCACCCCGTTTGTAAGTAGGGATCCGATGTAAGTCGGATCCATGTAACCCGGGGACTGCCTGTATAAGCATGGAGGAAAGACTGCTGCCATGTAAAGATTCCTTTACAGTATCTTGCAATGGGCTAAGTACCATTTTAATGGACTGTGTGTGGTAGTTTTTGGAACATAATTTAGATTGGAGGGGGCTGTTACAAAAGGGTACTTGGGGCTAAAGTAGCAAACAAGTGTGATAATGACCCTGTAGCCTCCTGCTTACTTATCTTGAGCACTGAAATAATTTCTCAAAGAAAGAACCTCAGTGGGAAAAAAAACTACTTGGGGACCAGTAACTTCTTACTTTACACTGCCATGTTGAAGAACTGGATGTGAAAGTGGGACCCAGGTTCCTGTGCTGAGGAGTGAGGGTTTGCAAAGGATATGGAGCTTTTTTCTTCTTGGCCACCATTTTGAATTTGACCCAGATCCATAATGACCAAAAATGTCTACCATCTAATGGCTCATCGGTGGTCTTTGTGAAATAAGCTTGGTCGTTTCCCTTTCAGTTCTGAGGAGACAATCCTGTGCCTGTTGTATTTAATGTCCAAACTCCCACTGATTTGCAGGCTACATTCCCAGAACTAATTGGCAGTCACAAGAGAGGCCAAAGAATGAATGTGAATGCAACGTTGAGTCATAATGTGTGGCTTGGCCTTATGTTTACTAACAATTAAGGATAAAATACTGAATCTCCCCCTCTCCCTCCCACTCCCCAGTCAGGTATGAGATTGATTGTGGAGGTGAGGGAAAGGGTGCAGTTTATACAGCTGCTGCATGTACCTGTTCTATGAACAAAAAGAGGATGTCAGTTTTCAAAGGTGTAGGCCCAGCACTTCCTGTGACCATTACTTTCTGTGGGTTTTCTTGATCAATGTGTAACACTCAATGTGCTTTAAATTAAACAGGGTAGAATAAGAAAACTCTACAGATCGGGGTTATGATAGTCCTGAAATCCCACATTGATCACTTTTTAAATGTGGGGAAGTTTGTATGTGGGCCTGAACATCACAGCTCCAGATCCATAGGCATAAACACCAGGCCCAGGTATCATACTGCAGCCTGGGCCCACTTCTGAGCAATATATGTGCTGTACAAACCACACTTGGCTTTTTTCCTAACGTGCAGAAATGGTCACAGTAAGAGTTCCTTAATCAGGAGCTGTTCAAACAGATCTGGTCATGACACAAAATAGTGTTCATGGAAATATGCATCTCAAAACGTTAAGGGCACAAATCTTCATCCACACTCAGCAAATACACTTTCCTACAGGGTAACAAATCTCTTTGAAATGTTCATGTTGCTTAGGTTAAATCTACACAATTAAGTCTAAGCCTTTCACACTTTCTCTTTTAATCCATTAGATTTATTTACCAAAAGGCTTGTAAACACTGTGCAGATATGCCCAGCCAACCAAGCAGCCATGTCTGAGAGCGCCGTTAGAATGAAACTAAAATCCTGCATTTATTGACCACAAACTATTGACTTGTATTAAAGCTGTCAGTCCCTTATATTTCATTCCTTGCCGCCACCTTAAATCCCCTGTCTGACATTTTAAATGCACCATGTAGATTCCAATACACATTTCACAGAAAGAGCTATTATAAAATTCCTGACTTTTCTTGTTTGCATGACAAAGAGAGAATGGCAAATCCTGCAATTGGCGGAGATAATCACTATCCTGTGAAAAGCCTGCAATCCACATCCCTTTTTTAAGCTGAGCTTCAACTGTGTTTGCTCAATATTTTTATTGTACACGTAGAGCCTAAAAATCTGCTTCCAATACACATTTGACAACGAAGAGGCCTCGACCTAATAGGCTGGACACCAGCCATGAGGGAAGTTATTTTTCTTATCAGAATCAAGATTTTTCGTGCTTTGTAACTTTCACTTTCCATACTAGTACTTGTTTCAGTAGCTCTTACTAAAGACTTGAACAAGGACTTGAACAAGGACTTGAACAAGGACTGGGTAAGATAGATAAGGGTTTCAGGATCATGCCTTCTGACTGGTTCAAATTAAAATCAGAATGCATGGACTTTAAGTATTTTACAACTGGTGACTCTTCTCACTTCCAAAACTCCCCCAACTTCAAGGTTATGAGTTCATCAATGGAAATGATGAGGCCAGAACTCCCCCACATGCCACCTGTCCGCCCCTTCCCGCACTCCCAGCTGAGTTGTCAGTGCCCCTTACGGCACTGGCTCTGCTGCCAGACCTCCCTTTCTCTGGGCTCTGTGGTCCAGCAACATCCGGACCACAGATGTCCTTGGACCACAGAGCCCAGGATGAGTCAGACCAGGGAGTCCTGATTAAGGGAGGTACAACCTGTACTGACAAATTTCTCACTTTCTCATTTCTACCATATAATTATAAAATAAATTGATTGAAATATAAATATTGTACTGACATTTAAGTGCACAGTGTATATACAGCAAGATAAAGAAGTCATTGTATGATATTAATATGCACCTCACTGCTAATGCATTACCATTCCATGCTAGTATTATGTAACTTAATGGCTCTCAACCTTTGCTAGTGCTTTTTATGTAGCCTATTAAATATCTAGATGAGTTGATGTATCCCTCGAAAACCTCTGCATACCCCCAAGGTTACACACATCCCTGGTTGAGAACCACTGATGTAACTCAAAAGTTTGCAGCCCTATGTACCAGGGTTCAAAAACCAACATTACATTTAAATTGTGAAGCAGTGTGGAAGGCTGGAAAGGCTGCAAGAAAGGGCCAATTTCCTACAAACCCATTTTACACTTGCAAACACAACTCATGTAAGAAATCCTG